AGATAGTTTTAGACTTATTAATTTAAACAAATAAAACCCCTCTCTTTTGCATTTAACGTAAGCGTTCATATCATTTATCAAGTAGTAAAAGTAGACGCAAATGAATACATCGAATGTCGAACTCATAAAGATCAATGATTATAATCAGAATTATTTATAACAAAGTATTTAAAAGTGTGAAAATATTGCTGTAACAATGATGTGAATCATTAGTGGAAACAAAATATAGTGGCAGAGATTACAACACAAGCAAATGAAGCTATGGATCTATTGGACAAAAGATAAGGATGACATGTCAAACAGTAACATGCAATTAACAATATTGTAGTAACACGATTAATGTGTCTAGCATTACCTAGTAGGTTATTCTTCTTTCGATGGTTCACCAAACAACTTACAAAGATAAAATATATGTATAGCAATCCAAACAGGCTTACTAAGAATGCTACGACAAAACATAAGCAAAAATATCTTTTATGCTAAATGTTTGTCTCACATGCTGATGCTACTCACAATGTAACTCATCTCTCGAAGCATTTCTAGACATTTATTTCTACAAACAAGCCAAATAAATAAAGTTAAAGCAACACCAATCAATACTATTAGGGAAAGCAAAAAATGAAACTAATCAAATATAATATCCAGGTTTAACATCCCCAACATACAATAAAAGTATTTCATCGTAAACGAATAAAAATCTCTCTTCTCAAGTTCAATTCTAAGTTGTTAAGATGAAACCCAGTCGATCGCTGACCACTAATCTCTCGGTAGCAGCTATTTCATATTCGTGTGTTGCTCTCTCTGATGGATTCAAGCCTCCATGATCGGTGGAGAAAAAAGAAAATAAAATGGAGATGAAAAATGGTTAAAAAATGGTGTGATATGTGTGAAGGGGTTCATTTTTATAATCATCAAAGGTTAAAGCATCTTCCAATAGGAAAAATATGGTTTTTCTTCTTCTTTATTTTTCAGTCATTTTACAACTGGAATGGACAACTATTCAATTTCAAAAAATTCCATAATTACCTGGTAGCTCACTAATTGCTGCAAATAGGCTCAGCAATTCTGTTTGGCATTGGCCCCCAACAACACCTACAGCATCACAGTAGCAATTTCATAACATAAACATCATAATTCTGCTCAAGAAACAACAACTTACTCTCAATATGCAAATAATGTAAAAATACACAAAAATAAATCTAAATGTGATCTTAAAAATTCTAAAGTTCAAAGTTAACCTAGATAAAAAGATACTAAATAATAATTGTTTTAGAGAGTTATCATCTATCAACACTAAAATTTAATTAATTTTATTTATCATATGTAGTTGTACCTTGAAAATGGGTAAATTTTTTTCTTATGGGGTGTTAAAAAAATATATCGGCACGTATAGGGTTTCGTCGAAATTATTTTCGGATAGGGTGAATGCTACAATATTAGAGAAGATGTTGGTAACACAATCCGTCTTGCCCATTATTCCATCAGTTGTAACGCCAAGACTTCCAAAATAAAAAGGCAGTTGCTTCTAGTGGTGAATCTATAAATTTAAGAACGAGGATCCAAAATTTTAATATTATTTTCTTAAAAATAATGGGTATGTAATTTTTTATTTATTTTTTCTTGACATATTAAATTAAATTTCACATTTTTTCCTAAATAATAAGATGCACTTGACTTGGGGACTTAATGCATCCGCCTCTAATCGCGTCTTTCTAAAGACACATGATGGTCCTTACATCTTTTAACAAATGCTGCAGCATTCACCCAATTTTTGAAAATAATTTCGACGAAAGAAAATAATTTTTTTCAACCCCTATAAGAAAAAAATGTCCTTGAAAAGGACATATGCGTCAACTTCCAATGACAGAAAGGCTGCTGCTGTGCCACTATAGTATGGTGTCTGGTATATATATGTCTAGTAGTTGTATAGTACTGTCTAATATTTATTTGGGGAATTAGACTTCATTTAATGGAAGCTGGTATATGTTTTACTTGAGTAATTTGAGTTTTCACTTTTATGTAGGTTTATTTTTTATACAGTGATTTATTAATTTAGATAAAATATTACAAATTTTTATTATGAAATAATTAATCTACTTTTCCTTTTTTTGAATTGAAAGAGGCTAGTACATTAAACTAGAACTGGGAAGGAGAATTCTGCTGCAAAGAGGCAGCATCCGAAGCAAGGAGAGGCTCGATAGCAGCAGGAGGAGAATCGAATGGCACCAAAGAGAAGTGCTGGGATAAGCTATCTACTTTAGTTCTTTTATTCATAATATTAAATTTTGAACTATAAAGAACATTTAAGATACTTAATATCATATTTTGTTATATTAATTAATAACTAATTATTTACGCTTAATTTACCCTTTGCATTATTCAAAAAAGGTATAATAATAATAATAATTCTACCAACCGTGGCATGTTGCATTTGGTGAAAAATGGTTGTCTGAGGGATAACTATTATTTAAAGAGTAAATATACATTTAAATACTTTGTTTGATTTTAAGGTATAATTTAGCAGTTAAGTTCTTTTATTCAATTAGATATTGAAATTTAATTTTAGGGTTCAGATTTGCACATATATTTTTTTTTCTAATTAAGTATATCAATTTGAATTTTTTTTGTTCAAACTGCTTTTAAATTTTATTTGGTTCAAATTGGTAGTGATAATTAAATTAATAAATGCTTTATTTGAACCAATGAAGTCGAATTTACATACCAAATGAATCATAAAATCAAATTTAGAATCAAATAAAGTACAAATATCTGTTATAACTACGTAATATATATATATATATATATATATATATATATATATATATATTATTTTATGTTGTTCTTCCCTTTTTGACAAAAAATAAAGATTATCGAAAGTATTCTCCATCATATTATCAAAGGAAAGAAAAAAGTTAAAAGACGTGGTAGCAAATAGAGGCACGAAATCAGAGAGGATTACAAAATAGATGCCTCCTCTTTCATTCATATAGGAGAATTTATGAAGAAAAAAGAAGCTACAGATTCTATATATTAAAGCAAAACCAGAATTCCAGCTGCACCCAAGTGATTAATGGATCATTCTCTTCAACTGATCAATCAATCTGTATGTTGTGAAATGTTAATGTCCCTTTAAATATACGGTCATAGTTAAGTTAAAAATAAAATAAAAGGGCAGTGATGTGTGTATCCAAGGCTATATTTTATCGGTCACCACTTACCATCAACCCATAGAATACTTGTATTTATATTTAGATGATTTACGACCCTTAAGCTAGAATTAATTGTTTTGCTTCAGAGTTAAGAAATCCCACTTTGAGCATATATTTTTCTAGCCTTACTAAAATAAGCTCTTCAAATGGAGGTTAATGGTTAGTGGCCTCAAAGAACAATCATGAAATTTGAGATTTTATCGATATTCCTTTTTCTATGCTACCAAATTGATATAGATTATAATAAGTGTTCTATTACTTTTTAAAAAAAAATTAAAATCTCTACACTTATTAATTTTTACTATGAAATAGTTTATAGATTGGGAAAAAGTTTCAGCTGCTATGGCATCATAATGACTTTGTTGAAGGAAAAGATGGCCAGTCACACAAATGATACAAGCAATTGGTTGAAATGCAACATTATTGAGGGTAAGAAAAATGAATATGGTTTTCTTTTATCTTTATCATTTTAACTTTGATGGGGACAACCTGTTTCTCATTATTGTTGCCATAATTCAGCAAAGAAATACATTCACAGCCACCATGATATATTGTTAACAGTTCATGTTTAACGAGTGCGACGTTTCATCCATAGCTTACAAATAGTTTAAACATTGTATCTTAGCATTACTTATAATATGTATTTTATTATTTTTTGAGTTTTGAAATCTTTTCTTTTTACAATAACACTTAAGAAGTGTTACATGTACTATTCTTAAGGCATTCATGACAGTGACTATAAATGCGTTAATGAAGTGGAAAGTTGGGGGGATCTTCTTAAGCTGAATTATGAGATTTTGAGCTACAAAAATCTAAAGTTAGATTTCTTTTAAAGAGCATTTGGTTCTTTTAATGTGGAATATGGCAGAGATGTAACAAGAAAGGTGTATATTCTTGTAAGCATATATGACTTTTTATCAGACAACTGACCAGAAATGTGGCTTGAAACCTGAGATTTCCGGCATCTAGTTTTTAAGATATATGCTAATCAGTTTGAGAAAAGCGAATGGATACTATTCTATTTACCCCCTGATATGTTGAAATCTTCAACAGTAATTTCACACTAAGAATTATATAAAACTCAAATTGGAATGATCATCAAAACCTCTTCTTTCTCCCGCTAAACACGAGTATTGATGTAAAAGTGATGACACAGAGAAATTTAATCCTAAACTTAATATCGATGAGCATAGATGGAATAATTTTTTTTTTTGGAAAATTCAAACACTTCATCAATCTTTGTAAAACTTCTCTGTTACTAGCTGATTGCATTCGTTCTCCCGCTAAACACGAGTATTGATGTAAAAGTGATGACAGAGAGAAATTTAATCCTAAACTTAATATCGATGAGCATAGATGGAATAATTTTTTTTTGGAAAATTCAAACACTTCATCAATCTTTGTAAAACTTCTCTGTTACTAGCTTTGATTGCATTCGTAAATTATCAAAAAAGGAATTTAATCATACCAAACTACTAATCTTCTCTAATCAGGATGCGTGGTGTGTTGAATGCTTCACAAACGATAAATAAAATAAAAAAAACGCTCACATAATGATTTTTCACCACGCTTCCTTTGAACTTGATAATTTTCATTATGATTATTAGATGCAGCAATTGGATGAACTAAGCAGTTTTAGTCATGGTGTTGGACCCATTTTACTTGAGTGGTCCATATGCTTGGCTTGAGACACAACACATGGGGACAGGTAAGCAGAAGTTGAGATGTCTATATTGTTGTTTTCTTAATCATTTTTGCAACTGGAATTGTAAAGCATGTTTTTTTTTTGTTGGCTTTTGAGCTACGTTTCTCTTCAATGCCTAGTGGCAGTTTGTCGATATTCGAAGGGTGTGGTGCTACATCAATGATAAGTGTTATTGTTTGTTACCCACCTTAACGATAATAAAAATCTAGTCCAGCTTGATGTAGGCATTGCGAATCATCCAATCCAGGCCCAATGTTTGTTTAACGTTCCTGAGAGTCCAATAAGCCCAACCAAAGTGGCCCTCCCATACCCTCCAATTCAGCCTTCGCAACCGTTGATAATCCTCTTTAGTAGCTCCATTAACATCCCACTCCGCCCCCATTCACCTGCAAAAAAATCATCACCCCTTGCGTTTTAAAACTCGCCATTAATGAGTGCATGTGAACCAACCATCGATTCTTACCAACAAATGTGAGAGAACCATTAGATGTTGTGCGTTGATTCAGCTGCAAGGACCGGTTGTGGTATATAAAATCAGTGTTCTGTTGGACCGTCAAGTTGTTAAACTTGTCTTCGAACAGATTGTAATAATGTACATCAATAACGGATCCTCGTAAAACACTGGACATCCGGAAAAGCTCCCTCGGTTTCATCGGTCCCACCGATTGGACATGACCATGAAAGCGGTCCCAGTGCCTACGTATGGCAGCGTAACCGGCTTTGTAGTATTTGATCATGCTTGACAGTGTTGCTCCCGTGAGAGGCTTGGGATCTTTGCGTATCTGTTCAAGGACAAGGAGGAGTTAGAGCTTAGAGGTGATCATATTATGGACCTAATACTATGTTTGAGCTTGAATGAATAAAGAGAATTGGATTGCTTTGTTTTTGTTACTTCGATGTTAAGAATTCTATAACAGCTACTGTTTGGTTTATGGTTTCATCTGTTTTGCCCCATTCCTGGGAGCCATCTCTGGAGCCGCTGTGCTACCAGCCATTTTGTGAACCAGGTGCAGCATGCAGATCGATTATAACTTTTAATCCATATTTCCTGGAAAATTAGAAGCCTGAATTATGAATATCTTTTTCCACAATTATGTTTTTGCAGGGGAAAAATGGAACCTACTCTGCCCATAGGAAGGCATTGTCTAATAAATCCAAGGACCGCAGACAAACGGAGGAGGTGGCGTCGGATCAATGGCTATCCACCAGCCAACTGGTATTCGCACCGCGTTAAGACCATTTTGTGATGAATTCGAAGTCTTTTTCCACAATAAATGTGTTCCAGTGCTCCTGAGAAAGAGAGATATAAGCATACACTAACATATTATTTTTTTTAAAGTAACATATATCTTAATTAAAAGGGTAATTATATGCTTACTCACTAAATTTACTCTCTCTCTTATTTCTCCCACCGTACTTTCAATTTTTTCATTTTACCATTGAACTTTAGACATTGAACTTTTTTGTCACTCGCCGTTTACTCAATAATGAGGTGCTTACGTGACTTATTTTAATAATAAAACATGTCACAAGTTTACTTAATAACTTTACCCTATCTTCTTTTTCACTCATTATACTTTTAATTTTTTCCGATAGAAATTTAACGGTTAAGTGACAAAAAAAGTTCAATGTCCAAAGTTCAACGAGCAAATTTAAAAAATTGGAAGTATGGTGAGTAAAATATGAGAGAGAATAAAGTTCAGTAAGTAAGCATATAATTTACCTAAATCAAAATTAATTATACTCAAATTCATTAAATATATAGTAGTTTCAACTGAATTAATGCTCAATCAACATAAAATATCAAATACAAATTATAAAGATACCAATATTATATAGACATCAAATATGTTAAACACAATGTCTTATAGCATTAAAATATGTATTAATTTGTTTTTGTCTAGCAGCTTTATAGCTGCCCAAACTGGTCCATCCCTTACTTTTTGGATCTTCATATCAACGCCGGCAATTTAATATCAAATGCAATTGCTAATTATTAATTGTGAACTATTTTATAAGATATGCGAATTTTTGATTTTTTGGTTCATGTCTTGACTCGGGTACCCGAATTTTGTAGGTACCCGTAATTGGGTAATCAGATATGCGAGTTTTTATTTTTTTAAATTATTAATTTAAAAAAATAATTTTATATTATTAAAAATATTATATAATTATTAAACATACAACTATTGTGTGGGTGGAGTTTTTTTAAATTTTATTAGTTTAATTTAATATATAAATTATTACTAATTAAATATATTATTTTATAATATATATAATAATAAATGTAACCGAGTATCTAGAAAAATGCAATTTTGTGACATGGATCCGACCTAAAAATGTCGGATAGGGTAACCGGCCCGATCGAGTATTCTTTTTTTATAGAAAATATCTGATTTTTTTAGTTCGGTTAACAGATCGACGGGTCGAATAAATTAGGTCAGATATTTTAAACACCCCTAACTTTCACGTTAGATGAACATTTCTTATACTTTTTAGCATACCCTCTTTTTTTCCTCATAACGATAACTGATTGATTACAAATAAGATGATATCTTGAAGTTGACATTAACTCGATAATATCTCACATTGTATTAAACTTACTAATATGCAATTAAATACATTCATAATGAAACGATAAATAAATAAGTAATTAATCTTTGTAGGGCCGAAAATACGTACCCTCATGACTTGTGGGGCTTTTTCAGGGTCATAGCCACTGGTAACTTGAAACTCGCCCTCCACTTCAATCCTCTTCATCACAAACACCGACGGATCATCATCTCCCCATCCTTTGCTCACCCGCGAATCAGCCGTCACCTGCTTTTCTGTTTTTCGCCTGCGATTTACATCTTTTTATCTAAAGGGCATAGCTATATACACACCATTATTTGGACCAAACAAGCTTTAATAAAGACTTGCAAGTTCATTTACCTGCAAGTAGTATCCATTTGGTGCTCTGATCCGAAACCGGTTCGTATCGTTGGCGTCCCTCAGAATCTCGAAGGTCTCTGAATTTCCAGGGCATTTGTGATGGCCACTATGTCGATCCCATTCCCATTGGTGTCCAGTCCAATGAATTGCCAAAAAAAGTTGGTTAAAATCGTATATTAAAGCTTTTTGGTCACTGAGGCGATTTTCTCTTTTAAAAATCATATCAATTTTAATTTATCTCTTTCAATGATTTTTAATTAAAAACAAATACGATTTAAAAACTCTCGTTTCGAAAAATTTGGGATTCTTTAAAAATAAAAAATATGGTTCGAGGAATCGCCACCAATATTTGATTAGGGTGTGATTGGGCCACCCAAAAAATGTTTATCATTTAAATAAAAATTAATTTTAATTAAAACAACAAATTGAGGTCTGCGTTACAAAAATGAATTCGGGAGTCGATTACGTGTGAGGAAGGATTAGCATCCCCACAACGCCCTAAATCGGTACCTAGTCGATTAATTAACGTCTTCGCAATGAACTTACAAATTCAAACTTAATTTGATTTTTGATCCCATAAAATAATATGTGAATTTAATAATATTCAAAAGAACCAAATAATTAAATTAAAATTACCAAATCGTTTTAGAAAGATAAAGAATGTTCGATTATTATAATATCGAGACCAGATCTTAAAAGCTATACAACCTTTTCTCGATAAATTTAAATAGCCGAACATTTTTTTCTTCCATTCCCAAATTTAAAGTGATGGATTAATTTTTAGGCGTCACTAATGGAATACACTTTATTTTAAAATCATTAAAAGCGGACCTCAAATGTGTTATAACAACCCACTTAAAAACAATTTTAAATTAAAAGTGTATTACCCTTAATCTAATTATGTAATGTCGAGTTATGCAAATGAGGCTATCATGCAAAACTAAATTAAAAATACAATCATTTAAATATTAATGAATATTAAAAAAATCATATAACGAGACATTTACAATAAAAATTAAATAAATGTATTCTAACTAATATTAAAAACTATACATATATGTGTATTAAAAATATATATATAATATATATATATATATATATCACTAAAATAGAAAAGCAAAACCACAAAATTTCAAAGTGCAAATTTTAGAAACTGATCATACTTGTTAAAACCAGGGTTCAATAATAATAAATTACCCCTAACTACCAAAGTAATAATAATCGAGATAAAAACACACCTACTATGCACTTTAAATAATGAAACTAAAATAAAACTATGGTTAATAGAATGGACTAAAACTATATAAACACAAACATATCCACAACTAAAATGCAACATGCAAAAAACTTAAGGTCCAATGTCTAAATATCAAAATTAAATACATTACACTTAGGACTAAAATTAGATGAAACGGAAATTAAACATGTGTATCAATAATTAGACAGGGTTAAAATAAAAAAAAACACTTAACTAATAAGGGTATGAAAATAATTAATCCAAAAGAATAAAATAGAAAACCAAAACTGGAAAAAAAGACACCAGGACAAAAAAGACAAAATTAAAAACAGACTTTTACAAGTGACAGAAATGTAAAAAACGCTAACTGAGAGGACTAAAACATAATTTAGCCTAAAGCGTGAGTGACTAAATGAATAATTAACCTAAAACACAAAATACATAACCTAAACTAAAACTAAACCTAAGCTAACTAATTACTCCTAGCCAAAAGCAGTGGCCGCTCATCACTTTACTCTCCACTCTCCCTTCCTTTTACGCTAGCTGAATCGAGAGCCTCACAACCAATGGCTCCGACCGCCGTGCCATGATAGCTGTAACCCTCTCCGATCGCTAACCTTTCTATCATCTTTACCGAAACCCTCGAGACCCCTCACGCTATCTACCCTTTCGAAGCTCACACGACGATACCCACTTACTCGCACAAAACCAACGATAACGTTTCCAGTGAATAAGGTAAACCGATTAAACTCTCTTACTTCCTTTAAATTCTTAAACAAACTAATTTCTAAATGCCCACTAATTTCCTTTTCTGTTTTTTAGAAACCCAAACCCGACTACTCAACTTTCCTTCGAACATAGCACCAGAAATAACCCCTCTATGGTGAACATACCATTATTTTGACTTGGTTTCAATTCAAAGCATATACACACAATAAAATTATGAAAGCAATTGAGAATGGAAACTAAGAAATAATACCCTTTTTTTATTCTGTATATTGCTTTGGTTCGATAAAAGAGGGCTTTGTTTTCTTTGATCTTCGAATACAATGTTTTTTTCTTTCTCTGTAAAAAGAATCAATAGGGGAAGCTCTCTTGTGTTTTGAAAAAAACAAATACAATGATCTCTGGTCTCTCGTAATGGTTTCTTTTTTCCTCTTTTTTCTTCGCTCCGTTTCCCCGTAATTTGTGATGATTCCTCTCTTTTACAAACTGCTTCCCTTTAGTTTTCTAAACCGTTCCCACCCCTTTTTTACAAACTGCTTCCCACCTTGTGATGAATTTTTTGTCATTTCCTATTGTAGGTACCTTTGAAAACCGCTTCAGCAAGAATGAGCAGCTGTCTTATAGGACTCGAGTTTGTCATTGGTACGGGTTGCTCCAAATCGAGTCTCTATTGGATTGAATCAACGTTGCCTTGTTTGGGCCTGTAAAAAAACATTTTAATTAATACTTTATTATAGCCCATCAATATACATATACTTAATATTAATTATTATCTATATAGTAATACATATACATATAAGCATACCATAATAATTTATTTAATTAAACAATATTAATTAATAAAACTAACTAATATAAATAT